TCTAATCTGATGCTTGAGTCTGCTGGTTTCGATGCCATATTGGATAAAAGGCTGGATTTGATGATGATTCGATGGTGGTTGTAAGATTTCAGGGGTTGAGTGTCTCGCTCGGTTGTGGATTACGTTACTGTAATTTACCGCTGTTCTGGTCACTATATCAAAGAACATCGTGATGTCACCATATCCCTTGTGAAATTATATGAAATTCATCTGTATATAGAATACCTAGCATAGCAAATGTTATATCTAATTAGATTTAGTGGCCTTGGGGCCCTTAGTAGTGAATTCTAGTAGAAGTTGTGGTTGATGTGGTGTATGAAGTGAGAAATATATATTTTACCTCTGAGTACTCCACCACCATCCTGATCAACATTTCTTTGAATATATTTCAACGGCCGCCATTAGAATCAAACTGGCTAATTAGAAGCTTATATAGGAATACTAATATCTTAATGCTATTTTCAATCAGTTTATCCTATATTTACTTTGTATATTGTGTGTTTATCCCTTGAAAGCAACGAGACTATATACTTGGGGTCGAGGACTTGGGCAAAAATCAGATTGAAACGACTCTTCATGCGGGTCAAGGTGAGCTTCCAGGTCAGGTTCCAGGCCAGGTTCCTCAGGTTCTAATTTAGGTTCTGTCAGGGTCCGTCAGGGTCCGTCAGGTTCGAACCTGACGGAACCTGACTATAGAGGGCCTCACTGACCAATTGTCACACACGCAGGTAGATAGCCCAGTCTATATTAGAATAGACGTATCAACACCTTCATTCAGCTCGCATTGGCAGCTGATTCTCGTAGTTTTTCCTATTTCCCTTAGTTCTAGCTCACTTGACCTCTAGTATGTCTCTTCCAGTCCTTCTCTATCATCCTGACTCTATTATTTACCATGTCACAGAGTCAAATCTCTCAGTTCTCCAATAATTATCCCTCATCTATCTATGAGGATACCCCTCTAGATAGCTTTCCCTTCCTTCCATCTGATGGTCCACAGCCATTCATCCCTGATGCTTCATACAGCCAGCAGACGCCTGCTTCTACACCTGACGCTGAATTCGCCCGGCCTCCGGTACCGCCCTCCATCCCTAACACCCTTGAACGCATTGGCCTAGAGAGAAAGAAGAACTATCTTCTCTGGACAGAGATGGTGAATGATGAATTCATTGCGTGGTGGTTAAAGACCGAGTTTGGAAGTCAGTTGAAACGGAATATCTTTGAGAATAAGCGTCAGGCAGAGTGTTGGAAGCATTTTCACCAGGTCGCCTCTATCCAAGATGGGTCTCCGAAGGTTATGTGTAAAACATGCGGCCAAATCCTCAATCATCCAGCGAACAGCCATTATGGAACATCCTCTATGAACAAACACTTGCAAGGGGTTAACTGTCGGAGGGTAGCGCCTCGTTCGCAAGATATCAGAAGGCTCATACAAGAAGGGGTATATTAATACATTCATCCCTACAGATTTATTTTATCTCTACTAATTTCTAGTTATATTAGGCACATCTGGCCTCTCAAAAACCTACCTTTACTCCACAAGCTTGGATGGAGAGGGTAATTACATTTATTACTGCCTTACGACTGCCATTTCAACTCGTTGAGCACCCTCAGTTTAGTGCCCTTATTGAGATGGCCCGGCTTGCGCCATCCTTACCCGAAATCCCTTCCACATATATGGTCTGACGTCACCTTCGAGAGATGGTTGAAGAACAACAGCAGAATCTTCTTTGCAAGCTTCCTACAGGCGCTAAGCTCTCTATTGCATTAGATTGCTGGACCTCGCCCTTTCGCCAGGCTTTTATGGCTGTCACAAGCTACTTTATTGATGAGGATTGGAACTATCGTGAGATCTTGCTTGGCTTTGAACCACTTCATGGCACACATACAGGAGTTAATCTGAGCTCAGTTCTCCTTGACCTACTTCTTTTCTAACCAATAAACTGCTTATTGAGTGTTGGGGAAGTAAAGGAATACACTAGTTGATCACCCATGTGAGATCTCAAAGAGGGGTTTTCGCGAATGATTTGACATAATTTCATAACACTGATGTTACTAAGGAAGGTGTGGTACAGAGCATATAGCTCTCTAGGCTCTAGACCATTATGGTATTAAGCATAGCCATAGAGTATTTCGTACTCCCTTAGGGGAAAAGGTTAGCCCCTCTACTTTCTTTTATTGAATGAAGGTCTTCTGAGTATTCCTTTCATCAAACTGTTATGAAAATAAGTCTTATGAAACAGACGCTATTTCCTCATAAAATATAGGCCCAAAGGAAGGATAAAATAGGAGATCCTTTGCCCTTAATAGATTCCACTTGACCTTCATGCAGCCTAATCCTACCAGTCCTGAAAACGCTTCGTAGAAGGGTATAATTTCGAGTTCTGACTGACTTATTCTGACCAATTATGCATACCTCTTTTCCTCATCCCCCTGCCGTTCGGTGAACCCTCGATTTCTCATCGCTATGCTCGCTATCGTATTCTCCTGGATGGTTGCAACCATTCTCGAAGAGCCTGGACTTCCTTATTTGCCAATTTTACCGACGCCAAAAGGAGCCTTGCCTCAGATTGGACCGCAGTGGCCGACTTCCTGCAATTGAGGATCCCAACAAGGGCATTGCCCTCTTTGAGTGGAGCGCGATTGTCGAATACTTTGTGGACAGCTATCACCTCGATGATGAGATCCACTATACGGACTTCGCAGCACACTATGAGACAACGACAAGGCTGCACCCAAGTGTCTGGCCGCGGTCCGGACTATGGCTAGGCCAGGTGGCTTCTGCACCTCGCTCCGGAACGCATTCCCCGCGCCATTGAACTGTATTGAAACGAGATCCGCCTCGTCACCGTGGTGCTTAAGTCTGTGTGAAATCTCGCGAATGGCTAGCTGGTAACTAGTCTAGTGCATGTACGCGGACTTTTGCTTCATGACTTGGGAAAGATAGGCCCGGAGATACACCAATCCGGAGACCCTGGACAAGGACTTCCCCCACGTCGCGGCTTACTACAGCGGCCAAATGGTTTCTCGCCTATGGAAGATGACGAGAGAGAATAATGCTCATTGTATTGATGATTCTATCTAGGAAGCTATCATGAGAAGCAGAAGAACGTAGAGGTAGTATAGCAAATCACACTATACTACATTAGGAAGCATAGGCGACCCAGCACCTGCGCTGACATCGCCCTTCCGTTAGGAAGGTTTTCGAGGATCAGGACAGCGGAGCTAAGCCGGCGGGAGGCACAAACTAAATTGTCTAGGTCAGCTAAACATCAGCCTCACAAGGCCCAACAGATAGATCATCATCCATTAGCAAAGTTCGGATTATGCTGTTCACCAACCAGGCTCAAGTCCCCACCCACGGCCGAGAATGATTATGATTCTTTATCTTGGCCCCGCTAGGGCGTCTCGTATCCGTTCATCAAAGAGGGGTAAATTCCAAGTGAGATCTGTCTCCTTTTCGACATGACCAGCATGAAATCAGATCATATGCCTATTGCTAAGGTATTATCACTGTGACCCCATATGGATATGTAACCTAGCCTAAGGATACATCGTCCGGACACCTTTTAAGCCTAATGGTACCTGATTTTATTATTATCGGTTGTATTAACTCCTGCAAGCAGGTGGGGTCGGTATTGTGGCTGACGTGTTCTAAGACTGTTGGTTCCTGTGAAAGGGGCCCTTTAATGGAATGGAGTTTGACTTGGCCTCAAATGCTTACCTAGGAGACAAGGCTACTTGGTTACTTTGTCAGGTATCTCAGTATTAGATGGCAGTGAATAGTAAATTGCACCAAAAGTAGAGGTTACAATATAATGGATAATGCCAATTTAGTGAATGTACTAAGGTACTGGTATGATCTGGTCTCTAGTCATTCACGTCACCACGTGCTATATTATCCATGTTCCAGCCCCCTTCTTTCTTACTCCGCATTGTCTGTTCTCCCCAAGAACATTAATCACCAGAGATCATGAGCTACCCAGACACTCAAGCGAGGCCTGAGACAGTTACAACCAAACAACTCCGCCGCCATGCCTGTGACCGATGCAGAGGCCAGAAATTACGATGTGAGCGAAGCCTGGGGGATCAGCATGCTTGCGATCGGTGTGCTCGGGGCCAATTGCCGTGTATCACAAGCCCATCCCAGCCCATGGGTCGTCCACGATCGCTCCATCCGAAAACCAAGCAGAATCGGCGGGTCATGAGAGGGAACAATGACGGCCACCAGGATAACCAGCAACATCTCTATTCCTCGCGGCAGAACGGCAGCGCGAGTGCCCAATCGCCGGATCTCAACATGCCCATGATCGACCCTCTTCACAACGCGGCGACCCTGGGACTTCCCGAGATAGACTACGATGACTTCGAGATGGACTTCGAAGCTTTCGATTCACCCAGTTTCTCGAATTTGGCACTGAACCTGCAACAGGGCGGAAATCTGAGTATTCCAGAGATGGCAGCAGACTCGTCGCGGCCGCAGAGCATAGAAGAGCAGAACTTGCAGCGCCTATGGAGGCTCCAGCATACACTCATGGAAAAAGTCCATTGGGTCGAAAGTCAAGTCGCGGTCCAGCAGAATGCAAGCACTGACGTGCATCCCCTCCGATTTGGTCTTCCGGATGCTGCAGACGCTCAAAGTGACCATCCCATTCACCAGATGATGCGGTGCTCACAGACCTTTCTTGAAATTATCCAATCGTTCGTCGCGACGTATCAAGAGTCCATTTGCAGCGTCCAGCCGCAGGAGACTATTTCCTCAAGCAATGCGTCCGCAGGTGATGGCGACGAGGACGACTACGAGGAGGATGACGACGAAGATGTTCCAAACTCGCCAGTAGATGATTCCAAATACCATCCCCAGCGAACGCATTCTGTGCCACCCCTGAGACCGCACTGGTTCGCACTTCCCACCCCTGAAGATCAGACTGTGTCGCCCGCACCTGGCACAAGCACTCCATGGCGTCGTCGCAAGTCTGGGAAGCCCAGAAGTGGCTCGGGCAGTGGGAAGACTACGCGTCCTGTAGAGCAGAACTCAGCCCTTCCACCCGCCTGCCAGACACAGTTCCCAATCTGTCTCACCATCATGACCTGCCATGTTCTTCTCATTCGCCTGCACCGCAGCGTCCTCACGGACTTGTACACATCCGTCCGGTCTCTGGTCGCCCGATACACCCCGGCGGGTGATCTTACAGGCCGTCTCGCCGTCCTAGACAATTTCTCCGGCTCAGCGCCTTTCTCCAATGTGCACTTGGACGGCTCGACGCTGAAGCTGGACGGTGTGCTACAGATTACAACCGTATTGCAACTCAGCTGCGACCTGCTAGAACGTACCGATAAAGGCGTCGAGATTCTGTTGACAGGCGCCGGACATGTTCTCTCTGCGCCCGGGACTTATTTATCGACCCTTGAGGCGCTCGCACGACAGGAGGCGCGTACTAGCCGCGGTTCCGCAGTCGAAGCCAATCGACTTGATGGGGGTCGAGCAGCACGCCTTGCGCCGTTGCGAATATTGGTGAAGAAAATCCGCAAATGTCTTCATGAGACTTGCTTGTGATTCTCCACTGGGGGGGCTTCGATGTCACATCCCATGCTCAATACCATTTCTTCTCTTTGCCTTTTGCGGGATGGAAACTTGTTGCTGGAAACTAGACAACCCTGCCAAAAGGAGCATACGTTTGTTCCGGTCTTGCTTCGTAAGTTTGATCGCAATTGCTTTCGCCTCGTTTCTGTGGTTCTGGATGCCTCTATTAGAAGTCTCCCTGTGATTATCAGTAAAAGAATTAGCTGCGGCAAGAGGCATATTGCTGCCACCATGTCGTAGGTTACTTGTGAGGGCGTCTACCGGGGTCTTAAAGTTGAATAGAGCTGTCAGTGATTATGACTACTTTTATACTACTGTTTTCAAGACACCTTTAGTGAAGTCAAACATCCTTAGCAAGAACAAATCGTGTTAGACGAATGGAAATCCATCTCAAAGTAATTAACGAAATGGCACATAATAGTAAAACATCGCGCTCAGGAAGGTAGAATCTGAGGAAGAAATATTGGCTCCTTTAAGCCTTCCAGACTCTTCATGTATTCACCAACCATGGAGTCCATCCCAGCCTGGGTCGCATTGTCCACCCACTCGCGAACCCCTAATTCCACAACTTCATCGTTCAATTCTCGCTGTAGATGGTCTCTCAGCCCCGATGTCTGAATGACCACCTCCCCCGAGTGATGATAAAACCGAGGACCCTTGGTCTCGCTCGAGCGAGGGGCAGCGGCCCCAGCCACCGTTTGAAGAATCCTCGTAGCCACACTGTGCACATCAATGAAGTCGAGGTGTCCCACCACAAAGTCGAAAACCGGGACAGCTTTGATCTCTCGCGAGAACCGCATCACATTGGGGAAAATGTCCTGCGCCGGTGTATTGGGACCCGTGATTGCTGTCGGACGATGAATGTGCACATTGAGTCCGAATTCAGTGCTCAGTTGCTCCAGGTATTGCTCGCTCGCCCATTTACTCGCCGTGTAGCCGTCCCTGCCGTCTGTGGGCGGGAGAAAGGCGTTCACCGAGCTGGGTGGAAATGGGGCGCTGGGACGCGCGTACTGAATTACACTGGCGGTCGAGACGTAGTGGAATGGGATATTGTTTGACAGTGCCTGCGCCGCGAGCCATTTCGTTGAGTCCACGTTCACGGGTCGAAGGACCTGGTAGGACTTGAGAAAGTGAACGTCTGCGCCATTGTGAATCACTGCGTGGGCGGTGGTGAAGATTTTGTCGGATGCTTCTTGAGAGAGGCCACAGTGTGGGGACGCCAGGTCCCCTTCGTGAATTGCGAGCTTGGGAGATTGGAATGACTGGAGGCGCGTGGGGGAGCGGACGCCGATGCAATGAACCATGCTCACTTTGTCGTTCTCCAGGAGCTGGTGTAGCAGGACCTGGCCGAGGAACCCAGTCGCGCCGGTCAGAACGATGGTTTGATCTTTGTCTGGAGATGACATGCGGACTGGCTTCCTTGAGGATTCGCGCGCTGTCACGACGGCTGGGTCGATCTCAATTTCCTTGCTCCAGTCGATTGTGTCTGAGGCCCTGCCCACATCGTTATCCGTGATCCGAGCTGTCATTTTGGCCAGCGTAGTGCTCTCAAAGAGGTGTACCAGAGGAATGATACGTCCGAATTGTGCTCGAATGGCTTGCTGAAGCTTGACAAGGAGCATGGAGTTGCCACCAACATGGAAGAAATCCGAGAAGGGTCCAATTTGGTATAGACGGGCAACTTCTGATGGCAGAACTTCCTCCCAAAGTCTCTTGACTTGCTCCTCCGCCTCGGAGAGGGATGCACCTACATTATCAACATTGCCAAAGATGTTCTCTGGTATTGGGAGGTTCCGAATGGCCCCTCGGTCGACTTTCCCATGCGAGCTGGTAGGCAACGCTCCAAAGGGGTGATTCCGGCCGGCCACATATACTGTGGTAGAGGAAGTCTCTCCTTCAGATCTTGGAAAAAGGCTTGTTGTTGCTCCAGGGTGAGCTTTGATTGCCATTCGCGATTCGGTACGACATGTGCAAGCAGATATTGAGCCTCTGCAGGGCCTCTGACTGTCACGACTGCGCTCAGGAGAATCCCTTCCGAGACCTCGATGAGGGCAGATTCAATGTCCACGAGATCCATGCGCAAACCACGAAGCTTGATTTGAGTGTCACCCCCGATACGACCTTCGAAACAGAGGGCACCGTCGTGCCGCAACCGGCCGCGGTCGCCCGTACGATATGCGCGCATCTGATTTGTTCCGGTGTTGTTGCCATAGGGAATAGTAAGTTGAACGAAATTCTCCCGTGTCAGATCGTCGTTGTTCAGATAGCCCAAGGCTACACCACTGCCAGCAATGACGATCTCACCTGGCACACCGATGGGTACCGGCGTCAGTTGCTCGTCCACGACGAACGCAGAGTAGTTCGGATTGACTGGACCCACGGGAATACGTTCCTTGGACTGGGAGTGATAGTCCACTTCCGTAGAATGGGAGAAGATACTGATTTCCGTTGGACCGTACACATTGTGCAACTGCAATCCGTCACTATTGATCGCGCGAAGTTTCTGCTTCAGAGACTCTGGAATGGCTTCCCCACCAGAGAAAAGTGTTTTCCATGACCCCCGAGCAATTGAGTATGCATGGCGGTCGGAAGAGTTAATATACTGAAGCCAGGAAATGTACTCGGAAGGGGTAGCCATCGTGTGCGTGATGTTGTGTTGGATGATCGTGTCAACAAGCGCCGCAGGATCTCCTCGCTTCGCTCGAGGGACGACAACCACTTCGCCTCCATTGCAAAGGCCCATGAACGTCTGCGCAATCGACATGTCAAAGGTCAATGCGCTTTGCTGCATGATGCGCACCTGTTGATCGAGATTGTAAGACAAAGTGATGGTTTCTATCTTCATTGCCAAAGATGAGTGTTGGAGAACGACGCCTTTTGGCAGGCCGGTGGAACCACTGGTGTATAATATGACCATCGGGAATTCTGATGTCGAAAGGTTGGTTGCATCTGAGCCACCTATCGTTGGGAGATCGGTAACATCGACAAGTAGACTTTCAGGCATTCCAGCCGTCAGCTCAGGAATGCTACCGGACGTCGCCGAGTGGAAGACTATCGCTTCAGGCTGGCAGTCCTGAGCAATTCGCTGCAGTCGAGGGAGCGACAGTCGTGGGTCAAATGGAACATAGACCGCTCCTAGCCGCAAGATAGCCAACATGGAGCAAATCCAATCCACACTCGGCTGTTGAAAGACGGCAACTTTCGCCCCCGGTGTGAGTTTCAGGTTCGCTAAAGCAGCTGCCACTGTGTGAATGCGTGCCGACATCTGCTTGTAGGTCAACGATGATTGATCGTCCGACAGGGCTGGTCGAGTTGGGTAGCGAGCTACCATCTCGTCGATACGATCAACAATGGTGCCTTTCCATTGTAGCACCTGTTCGGGCCCTCGAGACAACTGCAGCGCTTCCCTAATTTTCTCTCTGGAGTACATCGACGCTGCATCCACTTCCAACTCAGCATCTTGACTGAACGAATCCAATAATTGTTGGAAGCTGGCGGCAAGGATTTCCGTTTGCTGTTCTGAATACAGGTATTTCTGAGTGACAAGCATCACGGTAGCCTCGGACTGCGCATTCTCGATAACATCCAAGCTGATATCGTAGCCTGTGCGTCCGATCTCGTACTTGTCACCCTCAAGCTGGCAGTCGCCAAAGGGCAAAATTTCCTGAGCTCCTTGTCGGTAGTTCACAAAGGCCTGGAAGATTGGAGTGTAGGAAGCGGATCGAGCTACCTGGAGCTCCTCGAGCAGAACGTCAATCGGGAGTTTTGAATGAGAGAGTGCAGCATGAGACTTCGCTCGAGCCTCCGTCAAGTGTTCGGCGAATTTTTCTTTCCCGCCTCGAGACAATCTCACAGGGAGGAGGTTCAAGTAGATGCCAATGCCGTCCATGGCACCGTCCAAATGATTTCGGTTGCCGTCTGCCATCCCAATTACCAGATCCTCTACCCCCGAAAACCGGTACAGCAATGCTTTGAAGGTCGCCAGGTAGAAGTGAAATGAGGTGGCACGATGCTTGCGCGCGACGGCTTTGATGCGGGCACCGAGCTGTTGGGGGACCTTGAAGTCGGCCCGATTGTGGGAGTAGTCTTGCATTAGTTGTCGAACAGTCGTCGTTGAGATGGACAGAATAGGAAGCACATCCGGCATGTCAGATAGTTCCTCTCGCCAGTACGTGATGTCGGCCTGGAGAGCGCCACTTTCCACCACGTTGCGCTGCCATGTTGCGAATTGATGGTATTCAAGTGGATCCGATCGCCATGGCCGTTGAAGATAGGCCGTTTCCAGATCCCTCAGCACGACCTGGAGACTGATGCCGTCCATGTTAATATGATGATAGCCAATGAGAAGATAATGAGACTCAGCCGATTCAGAGAGAAGAATGACGCGCATAGACTCTCCCGAAGTCAAGTCAAAGACGTGCCGGCGCATCCGCTGAAATTCTTCGAGGGCATACTCGTATCCTTGGATCGATTTTGACTCCAGCTTCAAGCGAGTATGCTCAAGAATTCCCTGCCAGGACTGGCCATGCTCGTCCTCGAAAAAGCAGGTTCTAAGGGCACTGTGTTTCTGGCCAACGGTACGGACGGCGTGCGCCAAATTGCCAACCTGAACACGGCCCTTAAGACGTATCAGACAAGCGATATTGAAGGTCGTTTTATCCGAGAGGTATTTCCCAAGGAACCAGAATCGACGTTGTCCGTAGGACATGAGCTCCTGATGCACTAGAGGCGGCAATTTGATCTCGGTCGCTTCCTCGTCACTCGTGGCAGTCGTGGCACTGGAGATAACCGAGCCCTCCTGTGGAGTAGTTACAGCTTTGTCTGCCTCGGACTCATTATCTGAAGATGTCGATGGTGATTGATTTTTCTCCGCGGGAGAGGAGGCTTCCTCCTGTGGCGAGCAGGTGAGCGCTATCTGCTTTTGGCCGTACTCGATGAGATCGGTAATGGCAGTACCTCCCATGATCTTGAGCACTGGCATGTCAACGCGGAGCTCCTTGAGCCACCATGAACGAATGTCCACTGCCACCAACGAGTCCACACCCAGTTCGTCCACACCCTGTGAGAGCAATTTTTGCTTCATCCCCGCGTCCAGTTCCGGTAATGACAAGGCGGATACCAATTTCTGCAAAAACGCATCTTCTAGAAGGCGACGTACTTCATCGCCATTTGCAGCTTCAGCCACCTGGGTGGCTAGCGGTACTCCACTGGTTTGTTTTATCGCAGAAGAATCCGACTCTGACGGCAGAATGCAGTGGCCAAATCGAGGATTGTCGGCCCATTGCACTGACTTCAACTGATCTCTTCGGCAGAGCCGAATCCCAGCCATGACCTGGGGATTTTCGTCATTGTCCGGACGTCCTGCCAGAATAGCCTCGGCGAAGCTATGGTGGAAATCCCGCTCGGACATCCAGAGGTAGCCGTATTCGCGCAATTGGACTTGTAAGGCATAGCTTCGATCTCGAACCAGAACACCTACCCCCATCATCGCCCCAATGTCGATGACCGATCCGGCCAATCCCTTCTGTTTTCTCTGTGCGGCCAGCCCCGCCATAAACATATTGGCAGCAGTGTAGTTTGACTGGCCGCTGTTTCCACATGCACCGGTCAGAGAGGAGAGCATGATGAAGAAATCCAGAGTGTTCTCTTGGAAGAGTGCGTCGAGATAGCGACTCCCATCAATTTTCGGACGCAGGACCTTCAGCATCATCTCGACGTCCATGTCGTAGATGGACGAATCATGCAAGACCATCGCTCCGTTGACCACGCCTGCGATGGGCGGACACGTTTTAACAGTATCGTCGTAAAGCGCGCGGACCGACTTGCTGTCGGTGATATCACTAAAGAGTTATATCAGTAACCTGGCGGCATTGTTTCCAGATATATGCGGAGGGGGATGAGTTGGCTTACTTCGCTACCAATTTGATCACAGCTCCCGCTCGATCGAGGGCCTTTACCCATCGCTCGTCGATCTTGGGCTTTCGACTTGTGAGGACCAGATGCCGCGCTCCATGGCGGACCATCCATTCGCAGAGTGACTGTCCCAGACCACCAGTTAGTCCCACAAGAAGATACGTGCAATCAGGGCGCAATAGTGGTTGTGTCTCTGCAGGCTCAATCTCGGCAGAAACCGAGGGAGTATTCCAGTCCACGATGGTAAATGGGGAGGCAGTGGCCTCTGGCAAATCGTTCAGTTTCACTATGTCAGTCCACGGAGACTCCATCAACGACTCGTCCTTCACCATATCCAGAATCCAAGTGAAGTCCTCGTCAAATAGCGACGGCAACTGAAGCAATTCTAGATGCCTTAGATCAAATAATTTGCTACCGTAGGCTTCAGAAAGCTGGCGCGACTGGAGTGAGTCTTCCCGAGAATCTGAGAGGTCGACAATCACAGATGGTCTTCGGGGGATCAATGCCTCGAGATCACGAAGACTGCTTCGAGGGTGAATGTGAATGCTCTCCTCATTCGCACTGTCGCCTGTGGTAACCCACACAACGGAAATTTTGCGTGCGCTGGCGAGCTTCGAAAGCATCCTGCGAGTGAACTTGTCGGCGCTGAAGTAGACCACGGTCGCCCCCGGCTGCACTTGAGACACAATATCACGCATGTGAACATACTTCAGAATGTACTGAATTAGTGTGAAGTCATTGTACACTGCTGACCCATGGTCGTCCTTCAGGACAAAACAGTCCTGCCGAGGAACAGCAATTTGACTCGCCAACATAGGAGCAAATGCCATAGCCCGTTGACCAGTCTCACTGCAGTGGCCAATAACCAGGTACAAGTGCTCATCATCAGAGACCGCAAATTGCTGAACGGCGGAATAGGTCACATTGATAAGCATGGTGTTCTCTGTCCGTGGATTTTGAGTGTGATCGAGATGGATGTTGAACGCTCCAGAAACGGCCCGCGAAAGACTCACAGGCACGTCCGTCGGGTTGACCGATATGTTGACTGAGCGCTTGGATGAGTTATATCGGTTGTTTTGGGCAGCGTGAGGAATGACTCGTGGAATTTTCACTCGGCCATTCGTCAATAACAGCTCAGGCTCGTTGGACCACAGAGGTGCAGGGCTCTTCGACCTCGCCTGGTTTTCCAGCCCCAGCAAACAGAGTCGAAGCAGATGCTCGGCTATGGAGCGTCCATCGACTGCCTTGTAGCTGTCACCAAGGTCGAGGAACTGTAGATTCACATGAGGCATCTCCAGTCTCAGCGTTCTTCCGAACCCAACTGTGGCATTAGGATATGGCTGTTGACCACGAGCCCCGCTGAGAAGCCAGAGCAAATTTTGCGAGTTATCAAAAAGCGACTTCAGCCCCGTCCATGTCTCCGGACGGAGATCACTGAATACCGGGTTATCCAGATCACTCAGGCAGATAACGGTGCTCAGAGGTTGAAGTGGGTGTCTCTGGACGTCGGCGATAGACTCACGCAGCGTCACATGAGAAGTTCGCGGCGATAAGAAGACCAGCAAGTCGTCTATCAGGTTGCTCGTGAAGAGACTTGTACCACCGACAATGACGAGCTCAGAAATCTGCAAGTCATTTGGTGTACTAAGCAGAGGCTGCTGGAGCAGAGCAACGCGCTCATCAGTTGCTTGGGTGACAACGATGCCCAGGGGTTTTGCCATTGAAGCCTGGTAGAATGCATCGATCCCCGAGAATCCGTTTTGCTTGAGGAGATGACGCCACTGAGGAATAGTAAGAGGTAGACTCTGCGCGATGTCAAAGTAGAGGTCAAAACGTGAAGCCTCTCCGACTATCTGCAGGGAGAGGTAACCCCCAGGGCGAAGGAGTCTTCTTGCGGTTTTGAGGGTATCTTCGATGCGGTGGTCATCAAGCACCAGGCTACCGATCACCAAATCCCAATGGCCTGCCGGGAATTCCTGCTCTTCAACGTCTCTTGAACGGTCCAGAGCTGAAACTTTCACAGGCGTTCTGCCGGCCACCGATTGCTTCATCCTCTCGACTCTGTGCTGTGGCGTGGCGACGGTGTAGGATGAGAATCCCTGGTGAATATTCCGTAATACAGTCTCGGTGAGAGTGGTGTTATTGGCATCTATCTCGCATTAGTGTGACTGCAGCAGCCAGGAAATGGTTTAGGATCCACTGACTCAGTTCAAGAATATTCATCAATGGGTAGCGATGCGATAAGCGCCGGACGATCATCGCTAGTCGAGAATTGGAGTCTATAACACCAAAGCCTTGCTCGAAGTAGCGATCCATGAGATCAGAATCATGGAGCTTTCCTGCAGCAGTAGCTCCATCACCAGACCTCCCAGTATGCACAAACTCTGTCACTGCTTCTAGGAGAGCCAGATCAACACTGCTGGACGAACATATTGCGGGGGAGGGCGTGCAGGAGCCATCGTTCGTAGTCTTCCCCGGCAGATGATTTGCAATCCTGGAAAGAGTTTCACATTGGTCATCCCCGGATGACAGGAGTTGTCTTAACCGTTCCTCAGCGAGCTGACTGACAGCTCGTCCGAGACGATCCTCCTCAACGGTATAGGATTGAGAAAATGCCCCTTGGTCATCGAGACTCATATCGTCCCACACTTCACTTGCGAAGAGAGCCCGATCGTCAGCTACGCTAGCTGGAGCGACAGGAATGACGGTAATCTGGTCGACTCGGATGGCGGCAGGCTCTCCCACCGCACGCGATAAAGTGATGTGACCGTGCACCGTGCTCTTGGGGCCTTCTTCGGCTTCGGTATGGAAAAACAGCTTGTCATCCGAAGGTGTGCACAAGACGGGGTTCACCTGCACGCGACGGATCTTCATAGGCACGTGTAGAGACCACAGTCTCCCATCTCCCGGCCAGCTGTATGCCAGGAAGACTGATTGAAATGAGGCATCCAGCATAGCCGGATGAACCAGCAAGGACTCCTGAAAGCTTTCACTATGCTGAGGCTGATAGACAACGCCTGTGCTAAGATTGAGGTATCGTGCCAGTTGGTCCAGTGCCTTGAAGGGTCCTGTGTATTGATACCCCAGCTCTTTCAAGCCATCGTAAAACCTCTCTTGATCCACTTGGATGAGGTCTTCGAACACCTCCCGGGCAGGTGGTAGTGTTGTCTCCCGGGCAGCGTCTAGCGTGACACACACGCCCCCTCTGGCAGCGATGACGAGCGATGTGGACCCTCGACCGGCAGGCGTATGACAAGTAAAAGTAGCAGTCATCAATGCGGTCCCATCCTCCTGTATCTCGCGCGAAATGCCAGCCAGGGTGACGAGAACCTCAACACCAATGATAGAGTCCTCCTCGAATGTGAGAGGCCTGTCGATTACAAGGTCCTGCACCTCAACGAGTGCGATGGTCCCCTCGGGTTCCATAACCGTTCTTCCCGCTTCAATTGCCATCGATATGTATCCGGATGCGGGGAAGATAGTTTGTCCTTGAAGAGCGTGGCCCTTCAGCCACGAAATCTCATGAGGTGTCAAAATATTCCGCCACTGGACGCGGTCACTCACGACTTCCTTGCAGACTCCCAGGAGAGGGTGTGGAGGTATTTCCCGAAAGAGGTCAGCTTGTATAGCGCGCGACTCATGCCAGAAGACTCGGCTATGATCCCACGGGTATGAGGGTAGGTCTTTCACGAGCCGGGGTTGCTCGGTCCCGTCGAACAACGTATCCTGCAGCGCCGAGAAATCTATTGCATCCCGACCAAATCTGGCCCAGATAAAACCCAGGGCATCCGAAAAGGCCTTTGCGTCGTTTGACCCGCGTTGTAGTAGTCCCGTGTATGGAAGATCCCTTCCCAGAATCTCCTGGATCGTGGAGCTCGCTGGGCCTTTCAGGGCAGGGTGAGGACCTACTTCGATAACCAGGTCGCAAGTCTCCTCGGTTTGCTCAATCGCTTTGGTGAGTGCTTGTGAGAAGCACACGGGACGGCACATGTTCTCGACCCAGTATGGACCGCAGAGTCCGTCGGCCGTGTTGACCAAGTCACCATCATAGACGCTCGAGTACCACGGCGAGCGAGGTTTTGAAGCGCGTACTTGCAGTTGGTCTAGAGAATCACCGTACGGACCGGCGCAAGGAAGCATATGGTGTGAATGGTATGCTTTGTCGACTTTCAGAGGTCGCGAGAATTTCTTTTCGTCTTGAAACACGAGATGCGCCTGGTAGATGGCGTCCCGGTCGCCCGACAAGGTGAGACTTGATGCAGAGTTGCTCGCGGCGATGGCCAAGCGACCTGCGAATGTGGGCAGCGCGCACAGTTCTTCAGCATCTTCCAGAGATGTCCCGACTGCCAGCATTCCTCCGACCTCGCCCTTGGCACCCCGGGCTCCTTTCGTGTGCAGTCCACGATAGTACGCGATGCAGATGGCGGCTTCGGCACTCAGGCATTCTGCCGCATATGCAGCTGCGATTTCGCCCGAGGAATGGCCCACGACGGACGCAAACTCGATGCCGGCAAGGCGCAAGCTGTCAACAAGAAGTATCTGTACCGCAGTGCACAGTGGTTGAGAGAGTATTGCTTCCTCTACTTTGGCCGTGGAAGAGAGCATTTCCTCTTTGAGTGACCACGTAGGTCTATCGGCCTCTGGAAGCCGCGACAAGGCACGCTCTAGATCATCGACACGCTGCTCAAGCCAGGGTGAGGCACGGATGAGCTCTCGAGCCATGGCGGGCCATTGTGCACCCTGACCGGTGAAAACTCCGAGCACGCGAGGCTTGGACCGCGAAATTGGAAACGCTTTGACGGCTGGAGACTGTTTCCCATTACGGATCTTCTCGGCAGAGAGCATAAGCTCAGCCTCGAGGGCCGAGGCAGAGGCACCAAAACAGCTCGCTCGGATTGGCCAAAGACTGCGACGGGCATATAGCGTCCACGCGAGATTGCGGAGATCGATGTCCGGATTTTGGTGCAGGTGAAGGGCAAGTCTTTCCATTGTTGCAGCCAGGGCGGACTCTGACTGCGCTGAAAACACAAATGGCAGCATACCCGATACGCAAGGAATTTGGTCGTCTCGACCAGCTGGATAGTTTTCCAGTATTGAGTGAGCGTTCGTTCCACCGAAACCAAAGCTGTTGACGCTTGCCCGACGGACCAAGAATGCCTGGCTGGGCCATGGCCGCAGCGTGGTTGGAATCTGCAACCGCGACCAGTAAGGCTCAATGTCAGGATTCAGTCGATGGAAATGCATGTTCGGGGGAATCTGAGCATGTTGGAGTGCCAGAGAGGCCTTAAGCAGTCCTGCGAGCCCAGCAGTGCCTTCTGTGTGTCCGATGATAGTCTTGATTGAGCCAACACAGAGCCTTTCGTGCCCTTCCTCTTCCTTCATTTCATTTCCAAAGAAAGCTCGGAAGATAGCCCCGGCCTCTAGGGGATCCCCCGCCTTAGTGCCAGTGCCGTGAGCCTCAAAATACTGAGGACGATCGTGCAACGGACTTAATCCCGCAGCTTCGTACGTCTTTCGAATCAGTTCGGCCTGGGCTGCACTACTAGGCATTGTAATACCCTTTGTCCGACCGTCTTGGTTGACACCGGTAGCCCTGATTATGCACTCAATGCTGTCTCCATCCTCCAATGCTGCTGATAAAGTCTTGAGGACAACGGCCGCTACACCATCACCACGTGCGTAGCCATTCGCGTTTGCACCCCACATCCGGGAACGGCCATCTGGCGAGAGCATCTTCAGCTTGCTTTCAGCAATATAGGGTTCCGGTCCGAGAAGCAGGTTTGAGCCCGCCGCAATGGCTACCCTCGAGTCACCTGCCCGAAGCAACTGGACTGCCTGATGCACGGCAACCAGGCTTGATGAGCATGCTGTATCAATCGTCCATGAGGGCCCATGCCAGTCAAAGGCATATGAGACACGGTTGGCCATGATCGCCCGAGAAGTGCCCGTGGCAAAATAGGTCGGCATGGTCTCCAAGTCGCGGGTGAGGATATCATTGTAATCGGCGCACATCTGGCCAACAATCACTGCAGTGTCCGATCCTCGTAAGTCCTCGATTGGCTGTCCGGCGGATTCCAAGGCTTCATAAACGACCTCGAGAAGCAGTCGTTGCTGTGGATCAATCGCCGCCGCTTCGTTGGCACTGATTTGAAAGAAGCTGGCGTCGAAATGGCGCACGTCTTCGGTCAAGGTGTAGGCATGCCGCACATTGCTGCTGCCGTGATGCAGCCCATCGGGATGATAGAAGCCGTCCGCATCATATCGTTCTGCTCAGATTTTTCGAAGTACATCCCGAGGCTTGGACAGCAGCTCCCAGAGCTTCGATGGCGAGGCGGCCCCCCCGGTAACCGACATCCACTTCCAATGATAGCGATAGGTTCAGCAGTCATGGCTGTCGGTGGTATCTTTCAATTTTAGGAAATGGGCCTTGGATTGATCCTCTTGGTTTCCTGTGTGCTTTGGGGGTATTTGCCCTAAGTAATAAAGCACCATTGCTATGGCATATCGCGAAGTATACGAGCTCGCCATATCGGACACACGTCGGCTCACGGAGCTCTCTTTGCTTAGTTGCCTCTCTTTGTCTCCGTCTCACTGCCCGTTCGCGTGAGATTTGCTTGTCCATCTAGCTTAATTCACGTGGCCAATCCATTCCCAGATCGCCCAACTTAGTGCAGGTGAGAAGATCTCTAGGATTGTTAGTGATTCGTGCGTTCTACAACCTATGGGCCCCCGTAGATTTGCCGCTGGTAATTCGGGCCCAGTTCTGCTTCCCCGGAGACTTTTGGGATCTCCGAGCTAGGGTTTCGGGTTCGGGTTCGGAGAGGCGCGTTTCAAAAGTCCCCGATTGAACAAAGTCACTCCAAAGGCGATCATTCCTGACTTCATGTTCCTCTTCTTTCTTTCTTCTTTTCTTCTGAATGACACTCAATCTTTACTCTTCGATAACGTTTCTCTATCATCGCACTACTGCACCATGAGTACTGACAGCCCAACATCGCCGTCAAGCCCGTCCGAGGCCAGACTGGATGAGGGCCCCGAAGGCGCTCCGAAGAAACAATCATTCAATCATGACATTCGCTTTTGGCTTGTCTTTTTGGCTCTCTGTGTAACCTCCTTACTTGCTGCTTTGGAGGGAACAGTGACCTCGACGGCATTGCCAACCATCGTGGCCGATCTGCACATTGGCGATAACTATCCCTGGGTGTCTAATGCGTACTTTTTGACCACGTAAGTCAGACGTACCTTAATTTAACCCCTGAGCGGGAAGAAATATTAACGGTTATTTGTGTAGAGCATGCTTCCAGCCTATCTACGGACAAATTGCAAACGTCTTCGGTCGCCGGTATCCCATGATTTTCTCGGTTGTCCTCTTTGTCCTGGGCAGCGGTCTCTGTGGCGGCGCATCAAACGAAGCAATGCTGATTGCTGGTCGTGCCGTTCAGGGGATTGGCGGCGGCGGCATCAATATGTTGATCGACCTGATCATTTGTGATCTTGTGCCTCTAAATCAGCGAGGATCGTACATTGGCTTGTTGTTCGTTGTCTTTGCTATCGGCACCTCACTTGGCCCCTTCATCGGCGGAGCGATCGTGAGCAATACCACCTGGCGTTGGGTGTTCTACCTGAATCTACCCATTGGGGGCATTGGTCTTCTTCTCTTGATCCTCTTCCTTCAAGTGAACTACGACCGCGAGACCTCGATCCCGACAAAGTTGAAGCGTCTGGACTATATGGGCAACATGCTTTTGGTCGGAGCTATTGTCGCAATTCTAATTGCCCTCAGCTGGGGAGGTACTCGCTACCCATGGTCCTCTGGCCATGTGCTCGCTCCGCTGATCATCGGTCTTCTGGGCATCCCGGCATTTGTGCTGTTCCAAGCCTCGCCGCTTGTCAAGGACCCGACGACCCCCTTGCACCTCTTCGGCAATCGGACGTCTAGCATTGCCTTTTTCCAGACCTTCATGCACGGATTCCTCAGCTTCTGGATTCTGTATATGCTTCCTGTTTATTTTCAGGCGGTCTTACAGTCATCCCCCGAGAGATCAGGCGTCCAGTTACTCCCCACCGTCGTTTCCATGATCCCAGTCGCCGGAGTTTCGGGCGTTGTCTTGTCAAAGACAGAAAACTACAAGATGCTACACATCGTTGGATTTGCGTTGCTCACGATTGGACTCGGCACCTTTACAATCCTGGGCCCGGACTCGTCCACCGCTGCCTGGACCCTGACGCAGATGGTCGCAGCCTTTGGCGCCGGGCTCATCATGCCCGTCCTCCTTCCCGCCGTGCAGGCCGGACTCGAGGAGAAAGACACGGGAACATCGACGGCACTCTGGGCTTTTGTCCGCAGCTTCGGCATTATTTGGGGCCTGTCGGTCCCTGCTGCTATCTTCAATAACCAGTTCGATAAACACGCCTCGTCGATCAGTGACCCTGCCGTTCGGGACATGCTGACGGGTGGAAATGCCTACTCGTACGCTTCGAGCACCATGATCAACGCGCTGGACCCGAAAGTTCGACAAGAGACGATCGAGGTATATTCGCGCAGCCTACGGGTAGTATGGCAGGTCTCGATTGCATTCTCAGGGCTGTCATTCTTGCTCTGCTTTTTGGAGAAGAGCATCAAGCTACGGACGCAGCTGGATACTGAATATGGACTGAAGGGAACGGAGCAAGATCGCACTGAGAAGCATTCTGCCGCGTGATACTTTCTTCGTCTGCATTAACATCGCTATGTCACACATAGTGTTAGGGGCTAGCATTGGGTCATTTCTGTGCTCAAGACAGTCCGTGTCAGATTGTAACATCTTTTAATAGTTCCTTGTTTGTTGAGTGAGAATCTCATATACTTTGATAGAAATAAACATTGTGTTCAGATATCAATTGCCCGTGCAATTCACTTGTTGGCTATACATCTACTAATGTATCCACAGGTTGCCGTTTCACTTCACCCCCACAGCCCTGCTGAACCTCCAACTGCTGTCCCAGAAATTGAAACATTCTCTGCTGTAGAAGACGCCAAGCACCCACCTTCCCCTGCAGTCCGCCATCTCCAGGCTCTCTTGCAATCCAAACCCGCCGCTTGGAGTCGGGCAGATGATCCAAAGCCTGCTTCACGCGCATGGTACTGATTTCAGGCGCAGTGTAGATGGTATGAGCAGCTCCACTCACCAGCACCGGACACTTTACTCGACGTAGATACTGTTCCCGATCGTCTCCGACATCGAGCGTATACCTGCGCATCTCTCGCATAGCAGCTGCGGCGGACTGTTGGCCAAATATCCACATCACATGGGTCAATTCCCACTTCAGCTGATAGTTGAATCTCGAAAGGGTCGCCCATGTAGCATTAAACATCCCGTCCGTAATCCAGCCAGCCAACCACTCACGGATAAACCACGGCGGCATGCGCGACGTCGCCAGATCAAACATATCGTAGAAAGGGTCGATGGAGACACACGCCTTGACGCGCGGATCGACGGCCCCGCGGAGAGCATAGTAGGCCCCCATCGAGACACCGGCCAGAGCAATGCGCGACGTATCAAGGCGCCACTGCGGATTCTCGCCTGCGAGCTTGCAGATGTAATCCAGGACCGGAGTCGTCACGCTCTCCCAGTCCGGGCGCATGGTGATCTTCTGCTCTCGGAGACTGTGGCCCTGTCCGGGGCCGTCAAACAGGACAACAGCGTAGTTTCGCTTGCAGCCGCTGGCGCCGAACAGGAAATATAGCTCTTCGGACGTAGAGTCGGCGCCGCCGCAACAGACGACGATGGGGAACGAGCTGTTAGAAGTTTTGGACGGGATGTCCGGGATAAACATGTACCCTTGCAAGTGCACGTCATCGCGATACAGGACCCGAAGCAGGTGAACCTGATGCTCAAAGAAGGGAAGTGCTTGAAGGAACATAGCCACACTGCGAGCGAAGAACCGCTTCACCCGCGGATCTGGCGTATCAGGCCGGTCATTGAACATGTATTGGCTTGCTCGGAAGTAGTTCGAGGCACGCAGAAAGGCCTCCCGTGCGGCAATTCTGTCGCCATGCGCCAATGCATCCGTCGCCAGAGCCTCGGCCTTTTTAGCCTGGGTCAACCAGGCCTGGTGCCAGCTCTCCGGGTCATCGTTGACGATGTTGGCGGCCGCGTCCAGACATTCGGCGAGCTCTGCTCCTCCAAAGGGAATTGTGCCCAGAACACGGGTAAATTCGAAGTTGAAAAAGGTGGATGGGAAAAATTGAAACATGGTTTTATTTGGTTTCGTTGTAGGTGAGAATTTGGATTTCTCAGTCTATGCTTCATCAGAATGTTACCGCTGCCATCTTCGGGTTCTCTCTTTAACATAAGCTATATCGGGGACTTTTAGGAGTGTCCTAGCCGATATATGTCCGGTATAAGCCGTGTCATTTGTATCTTGCTCGACTAGTATAGCGTAGGTCTTATTCGGAGCTTCCGATCACTCGGAGCCTTTTTACCTCCATTATATCGGCATGTACGTCCGGCCCGCATATATAGGTTGGTAGATAGTTAAGTCAGATAGACATATCTTTCCAGTAGCAACTAGGTTACTTACTTCTCTGGCATACAAACAAGTTCACTTCTACTCCAAGGCTGCAAAAATGTCCGAACCCCAGAAAGTCCTGCGTCTCGCGGGCTCCTACTACAAGCTCGACCATGTGTCCGAGGAGGAGTTCCACAATTTCATCTCCCGAGACCACGCCGTAAAAGCAGCCAAGATCCATGAAAGACACGGCATTCTTCACTACCAGTTGGTTCGTAGCCCTAACCCACAAGGGGTCGGGAACTGTACTAGAGTTCCGTTAGGGTGTTGACTATATTAGGTATAGTAGCTGTCTTGGCATGGTACAGTTCCGTGCTTCTTTCTTAGGTACAGGGCTGCCACCAAATCAAGATAGAATTCATTGAAATTTTGTTGGCCTTTTAATTCAAGTATAAACTCTAAGATAGTGAAATTTCAATGGGAAATTCCTTTCTTTAGGTGTGTTATGGTTGCTCCTTGTTTTTAAAGTCTTGTATTATGGGGTTTACTAAGCTGCTGATTAGATAAGGTAAGTATACAGGCTGCATGATTCAGGGGCTGAGTCTTTCATATAACTTAATATCAAATTATCCTAAATCAGTGGAACTATAGTTAAAACATTCTCTTTACTAGTTAACTTAGTTATCATGGAGCATCAGTTCTTCCTAAAATTATCCCAGTTCCCAATTATTATATGCCGGATATGCCGCCATGGGGTCTGGCCTAGTGAGGTCAGTAGCCATCTACAGGGGAAGAATCATCATCTACCGCAGGCAACCACGAAGCAGGTTCACAAGGCCATTCAGGGATGGGATGGCATTGAGCATGACCCACTGGCTATTCAATGGCCAGCTAGCCTAGCCCAATCAATCCCTGAGCTGGATGAGCACCTAGATGGGTTGTTATGCCAGCGTGCACCCCTACAATGCCACTATGTCACAAGATCAATCAAAACCATTAAGCAACATTGGCGTGAACATCATGGGTGGAAGGCCCCATATAAAGGGGGTCGACCTAATCACTATGAGCAGGAGCAGGCCCAAACCATGGTCCAACAGGGGTTCAAGGTGGTTACCTGCCAGCGGTTTTTCCCGTCCCGAAAAGGGTCCCATTATATCTGGGTGCGGTGCCCAAACCAGCAGCCCAAGGAGCAACCCAGGACAGCACCCGCCCACCACATCTGGGCCGCAGTTAATGTGGTGATCCAGGCATAGGAGCAGGCCCAGGCGCAGGCCAAGGCTGGTTGTGTCATCCAGGCCAGTGAGCTCACCAATGCCAACCCATGGCTGCGGATGACGGGCTGGCCAGATTATTTAAAGGACGTCGCGGATAAAGATATGCGTGACTGCATGGCAGCACCAAAGGAAGATACCATGGATGCGACTGAGCAGCGCGTGCTAGTGATCTGGGACATCATGGAGGAGGTCACTCAAAAAGCCCAGAAGACAGTCCAACAATGTGGTCAAGCCATCCGCATGGAAGCCGTTCGGGTTAGGGTTAGGGTTAGGGTTAGGGTTAGGGTTAGGGTTAGGGTTAGGGTTAGGGTTAGGGTTAGGGTTAGGGTTAGGGTTAGGGTTTTGTCTTAGGCGGATGTGATGCTGCTGACAGTCTAAAGGAGGTACATGTACGTTGGTGCAGCTCGTATATACTAGAATAGTACGATACTCAGTGACAAGCTATCCATGAAAGGCTGACGAT